ACCGATGTCATGGAGGAGCGATACGTCGTCAACAACGCTCGCTTCGACCTGGGCGAAAACCCCGAGGAGAACCCGTGAGTCAAACACCCGCCGCTTTGGCTTACCACCAGCTAACCCTTATAGATACATCATCAAAAAGTCTCGCGAGCCTCAGAGCCCGGTTGAAGGCACCAACATGGGCCACGCTCGTCGTAAGTCGATAGCTCGTAAGGGCAGCAATGCTTGGCGTGACTCTCGCCGCCGCGAGTCCATTGCTAGGCGTGCCTCTATGCCCCTTGGTGGTATGCGTGTCATCACCACTGGTGGTGTGACTGCTGGTCTCGATGCCAGCTTGTATTTGGTAGGCTCTCTCGCATCCCACGACTCGGCCCTGGAGGTCGCCCGTGTTATGCAGTATACTTGGGTCAAAGGCGTTACGGTCGATGCGATCGATGTTTGAGCTACGGCTCAACGCAAGAAGCGAAGGCGTTAATATGGGTTGGGTAGTACAGAGATCTGAATGATCATCTGAAGCATGTCGGGAATCGCAGAGATTGACCACGACGAATCATGTGAGGATTCAACAAGGAATGTAAAGATTAAGAAATGACTGAATGCTCTGCTGTGTCGTGATGTTGTTGGCATGGATTGATGTTGACGGTTAACGAGCCGATGCGCTTGTTCCCATGGCTCCACAGCTCCACTCCCGTCCCAGCCCTTCGCACTCGCTTCTAAACTTGCACGTGGGAGCGTCTGCGTCTATCGTTCACCGTAGAGACAGATGAGGGAATCCAAATAACCAATCATAGGCTCTCAGTGACATGCACCCTGAGCTTGACCGCGAAACTAAGCTCGCGTCTGCACACCGTTATGCTGGGCTCATATTTCTCCCAATAAAACCATGGGGCTTTAGAGCGAATGGCATCATCGCTTGAGGCTTGGCTCGAGCCATCCCAACGACAACAATGGCCATCTTGTTCAAGCACCATTGATCCTACACCAGCGTCCTATCCATAATTTGGTAGTTTCAATGTCGCTACAATCCCTCATCGGCTCGCTAAGGCGTTCGCGCCCGTCCTCGACGCCACGTGAACCATCATCAGATGTGCGAGGCAACAACGATACTCTTCCAGACCGCCTTCTTGATGTCTTTTTCAGAATGTGGGATCTCGGTTTCACGGCATTTGGAGGACCGCCTGTGCATTTCCAGATCCTGCATCGTCGATTTGTGGAGGGTAAGGGTTTTGCTGGGAGGAAATGGCTGGATGAACAGGCTGTAAGTAACTTTTTTCGCATCACCGTTTTGAATAGGAAAGGATTCAAACGACAAAGTCTGTTCGATACTGGAATGGAGATGAGAATGGAAGAAATGATTTGAAACTAACCTTGCTATTCCAGTATCAAGAGCTATTCGCAGTATGTCAGGCTCTCCCTGGCCCTGCATCGACCAAAATGTGCTTCTGTATCGCTCTTCTACACGCCGGAATGATCCCCGCCATCTTCGCCTTCATGCTCTGGAGTCTCCCTGGTGCAATTGGAATGTATGCGCTCTCACTCGGCGTACAAAAGATGCCTGAGCGCCTCCCTTCCATTGTATACGCTTTGCTCTCTGGTCTCAACGCTAGTACCGTTGGTATCATTGCGCTAGCTGCCGTGCAACTGGCTGAGAAAGCAATCCAAGACAAATTAACTAGGATACTTGTCATTTTCGGCGCATGTGCAGGGCTGTGTTATAACGCATTGTGGTACTTTCCAGTACTCATCGTCTGCGGCGGTGCAGTGACTGTGATCTGGGATGTCTGGCTCATGAGGTGGGTAGGCAAGATGAAAGCGAGATATCAAGCCCAACGCCGCCGCGCAAGAAACGAACAGGGCGATGCCGAAGAAGAAATTCAGCATGCGAATCTCCAGCCGACACCTGTAGAACTCACACGGCCCCAAGCCGTCAAGCGGAGACCCCAGGCTGGAAGCTCGACTGTAGACGACGCTACGTCTTCCCGCGAAAACCTCTCTCCAACCCAACACCACGAACCCGCAACCCACACCCCCGAACCACCCCAGCCGGAGATGAAATCCCACAACATCTCTGTCAAACTCGGCGCCACCCTCATCATATCCTTCAGCATCTCCTTCATCACCATCATGGTCCTCCGTGGCACCCTAACCTCCACCACCCGCCCCTTCGACCTCTTCTCAAACATGTACCTCGCCGGCACCATCATCTTCGGCGGCGGGCCCGTCGTAATCCCCCTTCTGCGCTCCTACGTCGTAGACCCGGGCTGGGTCACCCCGCGCAACTTCCTGCTCGGTCTCGCCCTCATCCAAGCATTTCCAGGCCCCAATTTCAACTTTGCAGTCTACCTCGGTGCCCTTGCCATTGCGTCGGCCCCAGGAGCCTCCATACCCACGATTACAGGTGCCATACTGGGATTTCTGGGCATATTCGCTCCAGGCATCGTGCTGGCGGTCGGGGTCCAGTCGTTTTGGCAAGTGCTTAGGGCGAAGTCGTGGGTTGTGAGTTTGCTGCGTGGGATTAATGCCACGGCGGTGGGATTAGTGTTTACGGCTGTGTATAGGTTGTGGGAGATTGGGTATCTGACGCCGGAGAGTGGGAGTGGGAAGAGTTTGGCCGATGAGCCGTGGTGGGTTGTTGTGGCTGCGTTGGCGTACGCTGAGACGGCGTGGTTTGGGATTCCGCCGGCCATGGCGATTTTGTTTGGAGCCGTGTTGGGCATGGGGTGGTATGGGGCTGTTGGGAGCTAGATAATCCGTGGCCAAAATGCTTACAATGGTGTGAGGAGATTTTTGATGTATAGGCAGCGCGAGAATGCCGAAGTGTAATAATTTGAATCCCTTTCATAGACGAACTATCCTAATATACATATTGTACACATAAAGTAACGCGGCTATAGCGACTTCTGTACTTAAATGGGGAGTAAGATACCGTTTTCTTCTTTTCCAGCAATCAGAGCAAAGAAAGAAAAAGAAATCCGGCAACTCTCTCTGAACCCAACTAGCCGTTTCCAACAAAAAGAGAAAACTGTCGTCTCCATCTGGCTCAAACGAAGAACCTCTGGCCAATCCCATTCCATCTCCCCCTCCGCCCCCCCTCCAAAAAAAAGTCTTCCAAACTCCAAAATCCAAAATCCTTGGTGTGTAGTGATTCCCTTAATTCCCCCTCCTCCCCCAAAACTCCCAAAATATCCCACAAAAAAAAGAGACCATCCCATAGTCAAACTAAACTAAACCAAACCAAACCAAACCAAAGCAAGAAAACAACAACAACAACAACAACAAGACTACAACTCAAGTATAGTATCCACCATTCGGAGCCGAAGTCGACGTGTTGGGATCGTCAATCTTGCCTCCGCCATTGTGGATGATTGGCGGTTTGCTGTAGCGCTGGCTCCGCGACGATGACGAAGTGGTGTTGGCGCCGGATTGTGTGTAGTAGCTCTGGTATGACGAAGAGGAGGAGGAGGTTGAGTATGCTGAGGAGATTGTTAGCATCTGGGGTTTCTTGATATCAAGGGGGGAGGAGGGGAAAGAGGGCAGAAGAGGAGCTTACTGGTTGATGCGGTGGAAGGGCGCGAGTATGAGGTGCCTTTTTGCGGCGTGTACGATGTGTACGAGTATGAGGATGATGACGAGGACATGGTTGCGGTTGGTGATGGAGTGTTGGTGGCGCTTGGGGAATTCGTGTTGGATGGGAAAGGGTGTGGGTGTGGTGTGAGTGTCTTTGTTATCTGACTTGTTTCGGGACGTGATGTATATATCTTTGATTGAGTTGATTGCTTTGAGGAGAGTATGGTAAAAGAAAAAAAATGTACACCCTCGATAGACTATTTATTCCAGGCAGACAACCTACGTGAGGCCGCCATTTAGGACTTCATCCACTCACGTAAATCCTCCTACTAGTCAACTCGGCAATTTTGTTTTTGCTTCTCTCCCTACTGCCATCATAGTTGCCTGAATACCTGGCTTGCTTCGGCTCACGTGTGAGTGGATAGTGCGCCCTAGGGAGGACCGATGATTCACACCTGGCGTGGCTATGTCGTTCTTCCCTAGTCCCGACCGCGTCAGAAAATGGCAAGAGAAGAAAGGGAATTAGCGACTAGGCTAGGCTCAAAGTTTACGGTATGCCCAAACCGGTATGAGAGAGAAAAAGAGTCATCGTGTGTACATGCATGCTTGCGCAAGTTCACCAGAAGGAAGCCATGTTCCGTCGTCGACTAGAAACGCGTCACGGTTGGCCATGGTCCAGGCAATGACTTGCATGTATGGCTGCAAGGCACGATAGGCAAGGAGGCCTATGACAAAGCATCACGGAAAAGGGTGGAAATGCGTAGTCCAGTGACGTCGCCTTTAGTCCTCAGGCTTCAGCCATTCGAATTGGGAATATGGTAAGAGGGAGAAGTTCCGCTGGCGAGCATTTGCGGTCACCGGTGTGCCAAAGAAGGTATGGCGTGGGGGCTTAGAACACGGATGCCTGTAGGCATCGCTCTTAAAACGATCACCGTAGTGTATCAGGAGAAGAAGAAAATGAAAAAAAAGAGTTTCGGCGGTTTCCGATGATGTTTGAAACAGGGAGATTGAGTGGATGGGAAGAACGAGGCAGAGAGGGAAAAGGGCGTCGTCAAGGGCGAACCGAAGGCGCAGTCGACCTTAGCGGGGGTTGCTGCATGCACCCAACCGTCCATGCGGGCAAGGCTCACACGCCATTCACGTGGATACGAGTCATCTATTGACTCAAACTGCGATGGCACGGGGATTGCGGCTGTGGTCGCGCAAGTGCGCATATGTTCGCCTGCGCATAGCCGGCCGGAAAACTACTGGAGACATGACGCACGACGTCTTTCCACGCAGGACCAAACCATATCTTTCATTTAGCGCAGTTAGGAAGTGTGCACCGAAGCGTAGGAATTCGCCCTCTGAAATCGGAATTGACATTGAACACATTGGGTATCGCTACTTTATCGCCCTCCTCTTTTTGCTGTCGTACGTCTTGTGTGCATACAGTCTTAATCATACAATTTCAGCGCACCATTGAGGTCTCCAGCCACGACCTTCGATGTCTCCCTTGGATGCCACTGTACTGCGAGCACTGGCGCATCGCTGGCTGGAATCTTGTGGTACATTTTACACGTCTTCCAATCCCAGAAACAAATGAAACCCCCGCTGTCACCAGAGCTGATGAATTGGCCGTCGGGACTGATTGCCACGTCGGGTGCATATCCAGCCACGTTGTGCCCTCTGTAGCTCTTCTTCCGATTCTGTCTGAAGCGGTCTGTCGAACTGTACACCGTAATCTGATTATCTGACGACTGGAAGGCAACGTATTTGCCAGACGGGTGGGGTGAGGAGCGGACCATGGAGAACATGTACGGTTCAGCAATGAACTTGATAGGGACAGGGATACCGTATTCCCATGCGCGGAGGGACTTGTCGTCGGATGTCGTGATGAAACGGCGGTTCTCATCGCAGAAGGTGATTGTATTGACAGGCCCCAGATGGTGGTCGTATTCTTGCACCATCTCTCCACTTCTTGTGTCGTACTGCATGATCTTCTTATCGCTCATACCAGCCAAGAACTCATGTGGCATGCTTGGATTGATGCGCACGACGTGCGGTGTCTTTCCAGTTGTAAATTTGTTCAGACACTTGCCAGTCTCTGTGTCCCATATCTTCATGTAGCGGTCATAGCTAGCGGACACGAATTGCGTGCCGCTAGGATTGAAATCAACGTCGACAACCGACTTCGTATGCCCGGAATATGTTCGCAGCAGCTCGCGTTGGTGATACACGTCCCATAGCGCGATCTTCGAGTCGGCCGAAGCAGAGAGGAGGAGGTGACCGCTGTCAGGTATGAAGCGGACTTGGGTAATCGACTTTGTGTGGTATTTGTAGGTGTGGATAAGCTTCTTTGGTATGAAGTTCTTTGGCTCATAGTCGCCAGTGAGCTTGATATCGAGGTCCGTAGGTACGTGCATGTAGGTCCGTCCTTGGTAGTCGTATTGCTGGCTGCCAACAAACTCACTCGTCTCGCCCTCAGCCTCAGTATCTCGGTAGTCTGTGCCAGCGAGCTTCTTGGGCGCGGCCGCAGAGTTGTCGACAATCTCGTCTTCCTCGTACACTATTTCCACTTCCACATCTGACCCAAACTCATCGTCCGAGGCGGCATCTGGCCTCTGTTCTTCGTATTTTGCCCAGGGTCCTTTGTATGCGCCAGCTCCACTCACGATGCTTGAGTCGCCCTTGGCTTCGCGCTTTCTTTTCTTGGATCCCTCTCCGCTTTCGATCGAGCGTTGACCTTGTCGGAATGTATGATCGCTAATGTATGTTTCCGCCGCGAAACCGGTTGGGACTCTACCGGAGCCTCCCCCAGCCATGGTTGTATTATTCGCCGATGATTTCGTGGTCGCGCAGGCTGTGTAGGCGGGGCAGACGGACAGCGGGTGAGGTGCAGTCTTAAATGAAGGAAATCTAGAAATCTGGGGAAAGCTGGCTCGCCATGGAATACGGGTTACTAAGCACGCCAAGCCTTTCCCCTTGCACGTGAAAACTACAATGCATTCCAGTAATTATTTTATATTGACGGGTACAAAGGGCGAAATGGTCAAATCCAAGAGTTGGCTCGGAAATTGGTTTCGCAACAGTCAAATAAGGAGGAAGCTTCAAGAAAGTCTCACGAAAGTCTCTTCAGCACTAAAACCACGAAATTCTTTTACAGCAGTCTTAGAAAATCGAAGAGAAATTTGTTTTGATGCAGAAGTGCTTTTCAATGATTGATGTATTTTATATTATGCTAATCAAACGCTATTCGTTTCGATGTAGGGATATCGATCTGTCAAAGTCCTATTCTTGTATATCCTTGCGTACTCATAGCATTATCATTGGTGCCTGCATGCCCATTGCATACATGGCTTGATCAATGATACAGAGAATTACAAAAGCCCTTATGAGCATGTCTATGCTTACAAGTAGCTGTACCTTCGGTAGTAACCCTTCAATGTCGGGCATGAGCTGGTACATGAGCTGGTACAGTGGCGCAGTCCACGACTAATGAGACTCGTCGCGGATAAGAGCAACGATCATGCTGTAGAGGTAGAAGAAGAACATGAGCAAATGGAAGCCCAGCTTGATGAAGGATTCCTAAGTGCATATATATATTAGCCATTTGCGCCACAACACGTCCAGATTCTGTGATCCTCTTACCTTCTTGTGCACATTAAGCTTCCTGAAGATCTCCGTTGCATCCAGTAGGTGTTGGTTCTCAAAGATCCTGGGATAATCAGCAACGTCACTCTTATCACACGGGTTGGCGTGGGCGGCACGCACTTCTTCGCGTTCCATGCCAAGAGAGGCAGGTTCAGCACCAGAGCCATCCAGTATCCATTGATAAGGAAGAGGAAAGTCAGGAAAGCGTGAACGGCGGCTTCGGGAATGATGTAGGTGTTGAGACGGTTACAGAGGTCGATGGGGTTGATGTAGTCGCTGGTGCAAAATTAGCCATTGCCCAACAACAGGGTTGTGCGGTATCGTCTGCATGCGAAGACGCTTTCTCGGGAGCTGCTCACCATTCCAGATCGCTGTACATGATGGTAAAGAAGACTTGGAGAAATAGGTTGACGGCGTTTATCAACACCGCCAACAAATACAGCCATGCTTCACCAGTCATTGTGGCGGTAGTGTGCGGGGTAGGACGACGATAGTATCGAGGTTTACGAAGGAGACGAGCAACGTCGCTGGTCGGTGGCTGGGGGCGCGATTGAACAAGTGTGCGAGAGATGCCCAAGGCTCGGATGCGGTCGTGTGTTTGCGGGCTGCCGGGGCTAGACGCGGGAAGCTTAGCTTGTGTGCGGGGCCTGGATGGACGTTGCGATGACGTCGGAGACGGGACGGGCAACTGCGAGGGAAACGCGATGGCAGTGCACAGAGAAATGGCGAGTAACAAGCGCCTCAGATTTCAGAGTAGAGTAACAACAGACACAGATGCTTGGATGACGTTGAGGCGATGCTTCCCTGGACACAGCAACCATGGCCATTAGCGTCCTTCGCTTCGCTTGTGGGAGCGCAGGCGGGCCACCCTCGTCCGGTTGGAGCCTCATGTGACGGATAATGGCCCATTTGAGCGTTGCGCCGCCGCAATCGTTTCGGCACAAGAGACGCTATCACTATGTTGACATGGCAAGTGTTAGCGCTGACCATCGCAGGCCAGCCTGTTGTATACAAGACTAGTATCACGGCTTGCGGGATATGAATGGGCGTAGAGCCTGCACTCTTAGCCTCGTCGCAACTCAACTATCCTATTGCTTGGCAGGTTTCTACTCAGACTCCCTTGCGACTGTCCTATTCCATTCAAGAGTCAGCCTTTGCCTCCCCGTTTGATTCGTTGGTCGTGGCAGTCGGCATTGGCACAGGGCCACCGGGTGAGTCCGGTAACCTCGCCGTCAGTACCTCTACGCCGTCTTCTGTTATGAGTAGAGTGTGTTCTATACTACATTAGTTTCTGGAAAGAAGAAAAGATACGTCCCAGCGAGAACTTACCAAACTGCGCCGTCAGTGAACCATCTTGGGTTACACTCGTCCAATCGTCCGGCCATGTCTTATCTCGGTGTGTTCCAATACTGATCATAGGTTCAATTGTGAAACACATGCCCGGCTTCGCTTGCCCAACTGCTTTGTTCTTCGCGTAGTGAGGAACGTTGGGTGCGCAGTGGAAAAGCTGGTTAACACCGTGTCCGCAATACGTCCTGATCACGCTGCAGTTTTTGCTTTTGGCATGCTTCTCGATGACGTTACCATATTCTCGGAAAAGAGTGCCTGGCTTTGCGATTTCAATGGCCTTGTCCAAGCATTCTCGCGCAGCTTCGGTGACCCGCACAGCATCTGGATTTGCCAGCGCTTTGTCTCCAATGTAGTAGGTCTCGTTCAGGTCCGCGTGGAAACCGCCGTGGTAGACTGAGATATCGATGTTGAGGATGTCTCCATCTTTCAGTACTCTCTGATCGGGAATGCCATGGCAGATGACCTCGTTAAGCGACGTGCAAACGGACTTTGGGAAATTGCAGTAGTTAAGGGGTGATGGGTAAGACTGCGCCTGTCAGCTTTGCATGTCCATGGCCTGCATTGATCTCTCTTACATCGCGCTCAATGGTGGCCTTGTGGACAATTTCATCAATGTAGTCCGTGGTGACGCCGGGCTTCGCAGCTCTGCCCGCAATATCTAATATCTCGCGCCCATATCGGCACACTTTGCGCATGGCATCCTGCTCCTCCTTGTTCAGAATAGTAATCTTATTCCTGTTGACGAATACTTGTTCGGACCGCGGGATTCCGTCTTTCGCGTAGTCTGGCAATCGAATGTGCTTTGGCACTTCTCGGCGCGGTGAAAGCGGGTATACGGGCCTGAGAGCCCCGGTGTATGGGTAGGTAGGAAATGGGTTGTAGTGGCCCGTGGCTGGATCCGGGTGAGAAACTACTTTGGGCGTGAAGATATTGGAGAGAATACTACTTTGTGACTTGTGCACTTTCTTATGCTCACCCTGTGCGGCGGTTAGATACTGTTCTGTCTCACATGGACTATCTCACTATGTACCCAGTTGCGCTTGAAACATTCTTGGGAACAGAAGTAGCTCTCCTTTCCGAGTTTCTGGCAGTTTGGACATTGCAGAGCGCTGGCGTCGTTTTCACAGTCCTGGCCTGAGCATTTGCGCGGGGCGTCCTCTGCAGCCATTGCGTGCTGTGTGCAGAGACTGGTCGTGTGAGAGAGCTATGGCAGAGGGTGGACTGGAGACGTCGCCTACGACTAGACTTTTAAGCCGACTCTATCCTTAGCGCGCTATGGCACCTTCTGCGGCAAAGGTGGGTTGGCGCAAAAATTGCGTGGTGAATGTTCTGTTCGCTGCCAACTCCGCCGCCGCATCCTCAGATCCATATTCGTTTGCAAGGGTCCAGATTCGCCGAGGTGCCGATCGCTGATGACTAAGGCTTTTACGCGCTTCAGTTGCGCTTGCCCGTTTAGGACTTGACGGGCATCATCAGTGATACCTTGACATCTTGTCTGACTCTTTAAGCTTTTGTCCGTGGGATGACAGTTTTCATCACGTTTACCCCCGGCCTCCCTAGATACCCACCATGCTCCTAAATTTCTGCTCTTTGGTCGTTCCATCCCATCCTCTAGCCTCGGATCACGGGACTTGCGCATATTTGGTTCAAGTTTTCTCCACTCTCTCCTACCACCTTCCATTACCATGACGCAGAAGCTGGTTGTTGTCGGAGCTGGGCCGGTGGGTTCCTTGGCGGCCCTGTACGCTGCCGTGCGTGGATTCGAGGTTGAAGTGTATGAGCTGAGAGCAGGTGAGCCTTATCATACCCGCAAACAATCTCGGTCATAACACACATCCATGCTGACACTAACCAGATCTTCGCGAGGCCAAGACTACTCCACTCACTCTCTCAAAGTCTATCAATCTTGCTCTTTCCGAGCGCGGTATCCATTCCCTGCGTAAGACGGGCCTATCGGACCTTGCCGATGCAGTACTAGCCGAGACGTACCCCATGGGTGGCCGTATGATCCATGTGCGAAAAAACGGAGAATACGTTCGTCAAGCGCAAGCCTACGATGCAAGAGGACGAGTGAGTGTGGCTGCATCATGTCTTCAGGGTCGTACTGATGATACCAGAGTTTGTTGGCCATGGACAGAACTGGTCTGAACAAAACCCTTCTCGATCATCTGGAGGCTATGCCCAATGTGAAGTTAATGTTCAATCATAAGCTGGTAGGCGCAGACTTCAAGAAGAAGATTGCATGGTTTGAATATCGCCCCAAATCTCCCGAAGAGCAGGGTGATGAGTTCGAGTTGAGCTTTGACCTCATGATTGGTGCAGACGGTGCTCATTCAGCCGTGCGATACCATCTCATGAAGTTTGTCCCCATGCATTTCCATCAGGAATACATTGACAAGCTCTGGTGCCAGTTTCACGTCCCCGCCGGACCAAATGGCGACTTTCGAATACCTCCAGGCTACCTACACATCTGGCCTCAAGATGAATCCATGTTCATTGCCCTGCCGAACCTTGATAAGACATTTACCTCTACGCTCTTCTTGACAAGAGAGGGTTTTGAAGAGCTTGATGTCTCTGGAAAGGTCGTCGAATATTTCAATGAAAAGTTCCCAGGCGTGGTGCCAGATCTTATTACCGAAGACGATCTACGTCAACAATACAAGGCGAACGCACATCTGCCTTTGATCTCCATCAAGTGCACACCGTATCATTATGGAGACTCTGGTGTCATTCTAGGAGATGCTGCCCACGCCATGGTGCCCTTCTACGGCCAGGGAATGAATGCCGGACTGGAAGATGTCCGCGTCTTATTCGAGTTTATCGACAAGTACCCCAATGATCGATCCATGGCATTGAGTGAATACACAAAACAACGCACCCCAGACGCACAAGCTATAAATGATCTTGCTCTGGGCAATTACCGTGAGATGGCAAGTGATGTCAAGAAGCCATTGTATCTTTTGAGGAAATGGGTCGAAGAGAAACTGTACATCTACGTTCCCAGCGCTGGATGGGCTACCCAATACTCGAGAGTAACATTCAGCAACATGCGATACTCTGAGGTCCAAAAGGCAGCTCAACATCAAGCGGACATACTCAACGGAGTCGTTGGTGTTGGGATTGTATCTTTTCTCGGGTCTGCATTCTGGTTTGCGAGATCTGGGGGCGCACACCAAGTCAAGATGGGTATCTTGCGGTCGATATGCGTGCTCGCACAGAAGCTGCAGAGCTTTACTCGGAACTAAGCAGACCTCATTGGAATGTTCGAATATTTCATGCATGTAGAACGAGACGGCATTTCTCATGACCTTTAGCTGCTACAACCAACACAGCTTGCTACTCATTCAAAACCTGGAAGAACTGTCAACGGTCTTATTGGCTGCACGGATCTTCACACGGATATGTCTTCCTAGGTGATAGGAGTCGTGGTTATGAGTTGTTTTATTTTTTCCGATACTTAGCCGGTTCGTTAAACCCCCGGACAGGAAATGGTATGTAGCATACAGATTGACGTATAGCCTCCGAATTTGGACATGGAACATCGCCCCATGGTGCGCTTTAGGCGGCGGATATGGTGGTGTCCCACAATTTTCAATTTATTTTATAACCCGAAACGCTCCTGTATCACAGTACATTAGCCCATGTGAGCTTTTCATGGACAGCCCCACACGCAAAATGTGGGGAGAGGAGGTTTTCCCAAGCGAGACAAAATTTATAGTATTAAGTTGTGATGTTACGTCAAAGCTACACGCACTTGGGTGAATCAAACGTCGCAAAATGAAAGCCTTCTCGGTGAGCTAGGATATCTTTGTGTGCTTTGACTTTCATGGTCCGGTCTCTTGCAAATTTATTGCAAACCTTCAGGTCCTGTTGGGCTGAAGAATGCAACGATTTCATCATTGCACCAGCTTTGTCCGGTGTATGTTGACTCTCGGGTTCATTCACTTTCCCGAGTGTATGGATCTTACATTCTATGTTCTACACACTATGCGGATAAAAGGGCCAACCACCCATAGCCCAGTCAATAGTTGCCACATCGCAGATCAGACTTCTAGAATAGAGAACACATCGTATAAGCAATGTCAAACAATCAAGGCCTCTACCAACTGATTCGATAGGCAATTGATACACTTCCTATCGACATGGCCACCTGCTTTACCCGCCTCACAACCTTGCTTCCTGGCCATGGTTACTTTGTCACACGTGTTAGGCCTGGATAAAGTTGCTGTTATCCTGGTTCATCATTTCCATGTGCACAAATATCATTGGGTTATACTCTACAGAGTTGATCTAAGTTGATAAGATGGCAGTGTACCACTTTGGCATACTTCAGAGCCTCTTATCAGTGTATCCCTTTGCTTAAGATATTTCTTGTGACACAACAATATTCACACTTTAGTACCACCAGTACCAGCATTTGAGTCTCCAGCACCCAGTTGATTGACTGAAAGGCAAAACGATAATCATGCGCTTCACAGGTGGCCTCGCAGCCATAATCAACCTTGGTAAGCCATACAACACCAGTAACCCATTCCCTATACTAACACTACCCACCAGCTCAAGCATGGCCAGCATCAACAGAACATACCCTATTACCACGCTCGACGAGCTACAAAGACCCTGAAACCGGCTTCACCTTCTCCGAAACCAAAGCCGCAGCCACCCTCACCAGCAACATCATCTACCGGATAGCACAGCCCGCAAATGTTTCCGCAAACCAACCTTACGACATCGTCCTCCAGGTCATCGCTCCCAGCTCCTTGGGCTGGGTCGGACTCGCGTGGGGTGGCAGCATGGTCCGTAATCCACTCACTGTCTCATATCCCAACGGGCAAAAAGCGACTGTGTCTTCCCGCTGGGCTACGTACGTCCTCTTCCTCCCCTTCCCTCCCCCTCTCCCGCAAAAAATCCAAAGACAAAAAGAACGGAGAAAATGCTAACAGATACAACAAGCGGCCACGCAACCCCCCAACAATACTCCTCGGCAACCTACACTCCGCTCTCCACGGGTAACAAAGCAAACAACACGCATTGGCAACTCACCGTCAAGTGCACGGGTTGTACCGCCTACAATGGTTCTTCGGGGCCTGTGTATGTAGAACCGAGTGCGAGTCGGCGGTTGGCGTTTGCGTGTTCGCAGGGTAGAGTGAGTAATCCGGGGTCGACGAGTGCAAGTATTCCCGTGCATGATGTATATAATTACATCACGCATGATTTTAGTGCTGGGAGGAATGAGGGGTGGGCGGCGTTGTTGGAGAAGAATGGGGCGTAGAAGAGTTGAGTGGGAGTGACTGTGCGGGATGAAGGAGAGAATGTTTCTTGTTCTTGATAGTGGATTCTAGCTTCAATTTGTGATTGTTCCTTCCTTTTATTCTTGGTTGGGTAGTTTGATAGGTTGTAGATTGTTTCCGTTTTTTCATGGATTGATATGTGGCACATGTGGGAGTGGGTATACAATAGCGGTTTATATAATTTACGACAGGCTTTCTAGCGAGAAAAAAAAGTACAAAGTGAATGTGGTGCTAAAACTCCCAATACAGCGTTTCCCGACAATTCCAGAGTTGGATCGATGGAGTACCACGACAGCGGCAGTATTCCAGCAACTCGATAGATGTGTGTCTAGGTTCCCATAGGCATGTCTCCAAGCGGCAAAGACTTGAGCCCTAATTCGACAGTCAGTTGGTGCAACATTACCCAATAGCAGTAGTACTGAAAGAAACAAAGTGAGCAGCTCGGGCATGAACAGAACACTAAACTTACATCCATCCACCTGCTCAGGCGCCTGCTGCTTCTTCTTACAAGCATTATACTGCGCAGGTTGCTGCGTCGTAAGCCCCGCCTTGGGACAAGCATTATTCAAATTGCATCCATTATCCATGGCCTTTTGCAGCGAGTCGGCTTCCCAGCCAAACACGTAGTCGCCATGGGCAGCGGATCCACTATCAATATCCTCGGTTAGCTCACAACTTCCACCAGGAAGAGAACGAAAAAAAATAGAGGCAGTATTACCCAATCCCCATGGAATAAACAAACGGATCCGACCCATCTGTCGGCCACAAACTCTTGTCTGCAAACTTACTCACGTCCCACATGAGCTCGTACATGATCTGTGGTAGTTTAACGGGATGGCTGGACGGACATGCACCACCGCCGTTTGCGCCGCTGCCCTGGCCGTACGCAACGTGGCTTTGGTGGTCTGGTGAATCGAGGTTCTTGCCATCCCAGCAGGCGGGGAAGATGATGGTTTGGCGGATGAGTTTGCACTTTGGGTCTTTGGGGATGTCGATGGTGTCGGAGCCGGTGCAGGGAGCGCCGCCGACGAAGGTGTCTTCGGAGGGGGAGGTCCAGCAGCGGTGGCAGATGTTTGATAGTTTGACTTTGCTGGGGTCTTTGTTGGTAGCGGAGCCGACGAGCATGCGGAAGCCTTTCTTAAAGGCGGTTGTCTTGCCGCTTGGGATGTAGTAAACATCGAGACCACCGTCGTTGATGAGCTTGCCTTGGGGCCCGCCGTTGCCGATCTGGTGTGTGATAAGTCAGTCATGGTGGCTACGTATCTGCTGCGTTTGATGTATTCACTGACCTGGGGCACACGGATATAAGTTCCATTTTTTGCTTTGAAGAACATAACGGCTGTCCAGTAGTTGGACTTGTCTTGTACGAAGCTGCAGGATGTGCATGTGGACGCTTTTGCGAGGTCTATTGAGGGATCCATGGTGATGTTGAAGGCGTCGCCTCCTACAATCTGGTGCAGATGTGGAGTGTACTTCATGCCGGGATTTACAAGAGGGTCCGTACGCTCGACGACGAGCTGCGAGCATGCAAACCGCAACATGTTCTGCCCGACAGCTGTGTGGGCGAGAGCCGCCACAGTAAGGATGGTGTTACTCCAATGCATCTTGGTTCGGTCTCGAGGGCCAGAGATTGGAACAATGAGAATTAAAAATAGGTTTGAATGAAGGTACACGAAGAGCCGAATGTGTAGCAGATGTTATAAAGGTTTCTCTTATACGTGTGTGGCACAGATGCAACGGCTCGATGGGACAACGACCAAAAGGTTACTTGCCGGACCTCAAGATGACTGCCATTGCTCATTTCTGAGACATATATATGTTAATATAAATGAGAGTGGTCATTGGGTAACAGGGTGTTTCTTTTCCAATCTATTCCATCATATCTGATGATGGGCTGATGGTCAACCAGACTTTGAAGCCAGACTAAGAAATCCGGTTACGGGTTTGGTGATGCCTGGTAGATCACGCTATCCACTTGACCAACAAATTCCCTGTACTTTCATATGCAGATCAAACACTGCTGCAGGTGATATTGCCTTTGTAATATCGTAGGCAGAGCACTCGCCCACTTTATGGTCCCACGACTCTAAGCGACGGCATCCTGACCGTGGGGCAATGGAATTTGCATCGAGAGAACCTTTCTGCCTGACCGGGTAGGGCCTTTGAAGGAAAATCCATCCGAATGGACCTTTCTGAAGCCTCGGTGTCATCTGTGAGATGTTCGTGGATATCCCGGTCACTGGAGGCTAGAACCAAGTTTCCAATAATGATCAATGCAAGATGGTGAACAGTAGAAGCTCTGTATGACAGACCAATTGGAAAATATGGGAACTCGCCCACCAACTCATTCAACATGTGGGGCCCGGATCGACAGCAAGATGGAGGATGTTTGCACATCTACCAAATCAGGTCAGCGTTGGCGCGGCGTACATGTCAAGATCCTATACTGTCTTGAACTTCTCAAAAGAAGGATTGCCACACCATCATGAAGCCTAAAAGGGCACGCGAGACTTCTGGGTCCGACAGCCTCTAAATACCATCGTGTATACGGGTAGTGGATCCAGTGGGCGGCGTATGCCGTCATGTGGCACGTTGTTTGAGGAAGTGGGGCATCTGTATATGTGGAGATCCCAGGTAGTATTTGGACGAGAAAACCATAGTATGCCTGCTGATTGAAAGCACCACTCACCGTTCCAGCGACCAAATTCCCAGAGAAAAGTAGAAAGTCAAAGTAATTGAGATCAATCGAAGTCTGGCGAGTACGCATTTTGCCTGTCGTTCACCGAATACGGAGCAGACGCTTTACCTAGCAAGGGAAGCACCACCTGGTGGTGTTGGCTTTGACGGACAGTGATTTGATTCGCATCACTCATAAGCGACAGTGACTAGCTACTGTGGCTATCGGGCAATGGTGTTGCATTCCGGCCCGTCTACAGTACCATCCGAGTGTGACTGTCCAGCGACGGTTGTCGATTGGTCACAACCACTCCCCTCCGCCTGCTTCCGCCAGCAACAATCCCGACAGGGCATCCGATGAATATCCGACAGGGCATCTGACGCCTACTAGATCAGAATCCAAATCACCAACAAAAAAACCCGACATCACTCTTGCACCGCCTACTTTATTAGTAATATGTGGACTTTCCTCGTCCATCTCCTTTTCTGCTATACTTTCCAACTCCACCCCTCACCCATCCAGGTTCATCCCCAAACAACACCCGCCAGCCAACTTGTACAAACCATTATGTAATCCGTATTCTCTATCTCTACTACTACTACTACTACTACTACTACTACCCCAGACCTCACTAAACATCCCCACTGCCTCTTCGCTGAGTTTCGCGTTAACTGATGGTAATCTACAATCTTCCTGACAAAATGTAACTCTAATCCTACCAAGCAACATCCCCTCCCCCGCAAACGCAACAAGAGAGTAAGAACACATTGGTGATGCTGATATGGAAAGGCGTTTGGGTGGCTGTCGGTTTTTATTTTTTCACAGGCCTCCTTGTTGGAGTTTGCTTGGTGAGCTGCATGGCGGAGTGAATGGGCGCCCGTGTCCCGTTCGTCTTGGCTTAATGTACTAGGCACCTATGGTAGTAGTGCAAGTAAGCCATGGGCACTGTCTGTCTCTGCACCCCGTGGGAGAGGGGGGTTTTTTTTTTATCTATAGATGTTGTGTCGAGCGGCCCGATATAAGTATACTGTAGTAATTTCATATTTTAAATAGACGTTAGTAGTGGGCCTACAGGTCCGTCTTCTCGTCATCTAGTCCGCGATGCCCATGGACGGACGTTTTGCTATCTACCGCCTTTTTAATTTAGCGGAAGAGATAAACCGTAAAACCTTGCGGTGTGTTTTAAAGCAAACAAGTAACTTGGACTAGTTAGTTCTCAGTGTTCAATCGAAGAAGAGAGGGGATGGTTATTACAAGTGAGATTGTCTAACTTGTTTACACTGCTCACAGGCTGAGAAAATACGTCGAGGGAATTGATCAAGGGCACAGCATTGATACCACAAACATGAGAAAAAGAGACAGCAGGAGAAGAAGATGCGTTAGATGTATATGAACAAAAACACTCTTTAATACTGATAAAAAAAGAGAGGCTCATGGCCTAAAACGCCGCATATGCAGAGATACCCTTCCCATCCATATGTCTCTAGACAATTCGGATGACAATACATGGAACACAAATGAAATAGAAAAAAATGAATCTCACAAGACCCCTGCCTTCCTGTATACCCTACTATCTCTTCTCCACGAGCAACAAATGCATGGCCATGTAGGCCAGCAGTACGAATGCACCGCCAAACACACCCAATCCGATACAGTCGGTCCACAGTGCTTGTGTGTTGAAGCCAAACGAACTGAGGATAGCCGAACCAGGGACTTCAATGTCGAGACCATACTTGTGGTCGATAAGAGACAAATATTTGACTTCGTTGACAATGAGACCTTCAAAGGCGTAATGGAAGATTGATAACTGTAACTTGTTAGTACATGTGTAACCTTGGAATAACCCTAGCGGGTGGGATGAGACTTACAGATTGCAGCCATTTGGCTACACCAGGAATACTATCCTTGTTCAAGAAGAAGCCAGAGAACAAGAGACTGAAGAGCATGACGAGCACGCCGATCAAGTTCGCGACTCCAGAGTTGCGGAACACGATACCGATGAAGAGGAAAATGGCCGCAGCGGCGAGGTTGAAGAGAACAAGGAAAAGCGTAAACTTGAGGAAGTTGGGCCAGGCGGGAATGAGGCCCGTCATTGGGTAAACGATGATGCCGAGGATAATGGGTGGCAATAGACGAAGTGGGATGATGTCGAAGATGACCTTGGAAGCAAAGTATGCTGGTGGGGAGTAGTAGCCCTTGGCACGCTCACGGGTAAAGAGTAGCCTCTCAGGTGCAAAGACGGTGAGAATGGTCAAGCTGCTGAAACCGAAGAGAGAGAGAACAAACAAGAACAGACCGAGACGG